AAAAAAAAAAAATGATTAAAGTGGTAAATTTTATGTGTGTTTTAATCACAAATTTTATTTTTTTTAAAGTTTATTTTTGAGAGAGAATGCATGCATACAAGCGGGAAAGGGGCAGAGAGAGAGAGGGAGACACAGAATCTGAAAGAGGCTCCAGGCTTTGACCTGCCATCACAGAGCCTGTTGTGGAGCTTGAATTAGGAACTGTGAGATCATCACCTGAGCCAAAGTCGGACATTCATCTGACTTAGCCACAATTTTTAAGTTAAGGGAAAAAATTCCTGTTCTTTCACACAGTACATTTATGTATCTCCTCTCCTTTAGCCCTTCCACAGGGAAGTATCCTCTAAGAAACAGTTACTTCATGGAGTTGTCTTGGTGCTAAACTCATTGTGTCTCCCTTGTCACTAGCACTCCATTCCAATCCGTCCACAAGCAGCAATCACTTCTCCAGTATTGAGTCTTCACTATTAGTTAATAGCACCATTTGAATTAGCATGGGCTCAGAGACAGCATTCCTCAGGCCTGAGGGCTTCCTTCCACTGTGGCACTGATTGATTTGCTGAGTGATGTGCAGTATATGGGACCTATTTACCCAAACACTCTGTTTCATAGAAACTGTTGTATGTGTGATTCATTTCTCTGATGAGCAAAAGATGATCACTCATTGTCTTCCTGACAGATGCCTGTAAAGATATTTTAGGTTTGAGAGGGTGGGGCTAGCGTATGACTGGTGTTCTGATAGCTGCATTACCTGCTTTTCTTCTCACAGACTCCAGTGGAAGAGGTCCCTGCTGCCATTGCCCCATTCCAGGGGAGGGTGTTGATTGGTGTGGGGAAGCTTCTGCGAGTCTATGACTTGGGGAAGAAGAAGTTACTCCGAAAGTGTGAGAACAAGGTAAATATGCTGGTAGAGGGCTTCAGATGTAGCTAGTGTGGAAGAAGGAAACATGGGCAGGATGGTGGACAGTAACTTAAAATCACATCTCTTTATTAGGACCTTGTAGTTCCCCAATTTCAGCCTAAGAATAAGGCCTTTGAGCCTGGAGAACGAGAGCAGTTAGGTGGCTTTCTTGATTTCTTCACATAAAGAATCAGATTCTGTCCTGCTTGCTTCTATAAGGTATTTAACTCTGAGAACTGAGCATATATTTCCTGTATATTAAAACCAGTAGTTTTTTTCCTGTCTTTTAGCAATTTTTTGCTGACTACTATTCTCTAGGCCCTGTATGTGTTGAAGTCAGGAGCAGCTGGACTTTCTGTGTGTTCTGAACCTCAAGGTTACTCCTATTGCTGTCCGTGTTTTTCCCAGCATATTGCCAATTACATCTCTGGGATCCAGACTATTGGACACAGGGTAATTGTGTCTGACGTCCAGGAAAGTTTCATCTGGGTTCGATACAAGCGTAATGAGAACCAGCTCATCATTTTTGCTGATGATACTTACCCACGATGGGTCACTACAGCTAGCCTTCTGGACTATGACACTGTGGCTGGGGCAGATAAGTTTGGCAACATTTGTGTGGTGAGTTGATGTTTACTTGGCTTACATTGATGTGTGGAAAAGCTGGCATAGTTTTCACTGGTAAAACCAAGGACCCAGGACTGTGATTTCTAATATGGAAAGTAAAAATGAGTATAAAATTCAATCCTACTAAGGCTGCCTCTAAAAATGAAACTGTTATGTAAGCTTTCTTATCATTTTTTAATTTTTTAAAATTTTATTTATTTTTAAAGTTTTTTTTTAAAGTAATTACTGCACTCAATGTGGGGGTCAAACTCACAACCCCCAAATCAAGAGTTATACACACTCTACTGACTGAGCTAGGCAGCCACCCCATTCTTGTCATTTAGAACCTCCTCTCCTCCATCCCTCCACCACCTACCAGTCCACCTTCTTCATCTTCATTGGAATATGATTTTTTTTTAATGTTTAGGGTTTTTTGTTTTTTTTTTTTTT